GCATGTGAGGCACGTAAATAATGTGCCTATATATAGGCCTATGCTGGCCTCAGGCCTCCGCTGCCGGCATGTGAGGCACGTAAATATTGCGCCTATATATAGGCCTATGCTGGCCTCAGGCCTCCGCTGCCGGCATGTGAGGCACGTAAATAATGTGCCCATATATAGGCCTTTGCTGGCCTCAGGCCTCCGCTGCCGGCATGTGAGGCACGTAAATAATGTGCCTATATATGGGCCTATATATGAGATATTCTTTAATTAACTGTCATCTCAGTTTCTTGTATAACTTTTAACGATCTGTTCAGATTTATTGCTCTATCTTGAAATTTTGCGAGATTTCTTTACCATTTCAGTTCCAAGATAAAAAATAGTCTGTCGCAATACAGTATCTTTATTCGTTTGTTCAATATCCATTACTCAAGCTTCAAAATATTATAGTTTAGTAGTTTTTAGTTTAATATACATTACTCCAAAGTCCCTATATATAGATGTTAATAAAAATAACTTTAATTAGTACGTAGACGCGGTTAATGAGCCGGAAGTGCTGTGTGAGGTTTGTTCTTATAATAACATCACTGCTACGTAAAAAAATTATCGTGAGAACATTAACATTATTTTGCTTAAGCATTGCACGTCAAGAATTCAAAAGGATTAACTATTTATTTCGTTATTAATGATAATATTAAGTTATATATGACTTTTGAATATTAAAAAAATTCTATGTGGCTTTTGATGCGGAACGTAACTGTATTTAAAATAAGAAGTTGAAGGTATGAATGAATGTAGCATAAATGTGTATTACACGATAGTGTACGGCATGAATGTGCGAATAATGAAAAATCATTCAAAATGTTCTGTACTAAACCAGATATCATGGGCATCATAATGTGTAATGGGCGAATGTATTGCTCGTCGTTCCTTCAAAGTACTTTACAACATATCAACATGTCAATAGAAACATGTCTTGGCAAAAGTCTGCCAATAAAGCAGTAGAAAATGTCTCATAACAAATATTTCAATGCTGCATTAGATCAATTTTTCCTACAAATATTACAATAAATCAATAATAACATGTCTATCGTTTAAACATTTCAATAATTCCGTACAGACTAGTCTCTGCACAAACATTACTATGAGGCAATACGAACATGTTTCCCCTTGAACATTGCAGTAATTCAATCGGAACCCATTGCAATAAAACAATATGTACGTGTTTCTCCTTGGATTTTTCAGTAATTCAATAGAAACACAAACTAAAGCAATACGAACATGTTTCCTCTTAAATATTTCAGTAATTCAATAGGAACACATTGCAATAAAGCAATATGAACATGTTTCCCCTTGAACATTGCAGCAATAATAGTCTGTCGCAATACAGTATCTTTATTCGTTTGTTCAATATCCATTACTCAAGCTTCAAAATATTATAGTTTAGTAGTTTTTAGTTTAATATCCTTTACTCCAAAGTCACTAAATTATATATGTTAATAAAAATAAATTTAATTTAAAATATAAAATTTCAATTTAGATCAGTAGAATTCAATTCCCTTTTAATTCAAAATTTCTTTTCATTGCAGAAAGTGAATGGAAATTCAAATTTAATTGTGGGTTTGAACGGGCACGCATTTAACTTAACGAACTCCGGCAGAGGTTGGCATGGTGCCATTGGAATTTGGAATGTGGAAAGGCTGGATTTGGAATGGCAGGATTGTTATAGCGGGACTCGGAATTGCGGGAATCGGAATGACTTGATTCACAAATCCCAGGAATTATCTGTCCCTATCAACGTCGGGCTAAGCTTCTAATTGTGCTGAGGAGAATTTCATGCTTTATTTTCTTCTTTTATTTTTTATAAATGTAAATGAGCTCTCGCTGCCTCAGCAGCATTTTTTTCAGTCGGGTGCACTTTTTTCACACTAGATTTTTACTTGCAATCGAGTGAACCGAAAATAGTGTGAAGATTTGTTAATTCAGATCGAAAAGATTCATATCAAATTATTGCATAATGCGACCATCTAAAACTGAAATTTTATATTTGAAATACGTATGATAGAGTTTTTATTCAAATTAGAAAAGTTGTGGTTTGATTACAAGCAGTAAAGGTGCAGCTTGCAGGGAGGCTTTATAACACATCACGAACGTAGCGGGAACGAAGAGACTGGGGAAGCAACTCATCCTGTAGGTATTTAACCAATCACATTGTTAACAATCACACTTCTACACAAATATACAATTGTGCTTTTATGCAAATAAACATTGACATAAAAATGGATCCTGAGGAGCAGTTAGCTCTGAACTTTGAAGGTTCACAGTGCAGGCAAACGGATTTTTTTTTGGTTAAAGATCCCACTGAGATTATTTTTACAGCATGGAATACCTTCTTTCATGTTTTACTTACCTAATGTGACGTGATGAATTGCCTGCCTAATGAGACATGGATGATTGACTGCCTAATGAGACCTGGTGGATTTCCTGCCTAATGAGACCTGGTGGATTTCCTGCCTAATGAGACCTCGGGGATTTCCCGCCTAATGAGACCTGGGGGATTTTCCGCCTAATGAGACCTAGGAGATTTCTCACCTAATGAAACATTGGGGATTTCCCACCTAATGAGACCTGGTGGATTTCTTGCCTAATGATACTGGTGGATTGTCTACTAGCAGAACTGCAGGATTTGTATCGCATTTGCTATCACCGCAGTGGCCGCCACAGTCAATCACGGCGGTATTGTCAGGCCTCCATTAATGGCGGCAATCATAGTAATTTGGACGACAATCTTGCAATTATTTCGGTGATGAAGCATTCGTCTGCTGCCGTCCTACAATCGCCCGTAGTTATCTACCACTAATAATTATTATTGAAGTTTTGTTAATTACTTTCATTATGCGTTACTTGCAAATAAAACTTATAACGTAACCTTATAGGAATAACGTATAGTTATGTTGCAACTTATACATCTTAATTTAATCATAAGTTCTTTCAGTTGCTTTCGTTATACGTTCTAACTATACTTAAACTTGTAGCTTACTAGGTTATGTTATACATAGTTACTCGTAAATGTCGCGTTGAATTAGCTTGTCTGCCTCATTAGACAAACCAGTCCGCCTCATTAGACAGACAAGTCTGCCTCATTGGACAGACAAGTCTGCCTCATTAGACAGACAAGTCTGACAAGTCTACCTCATTAGACAGACCAGTCTGCCTCATTATACAGACAAGTCTACCTCATTAGACAGACAAGTCTGCCTCATTAGACAGACAAGTCTGCCTCATTAGACAGACAAGTCTGCCTCATTAGACAAACCAGTCTGCCTCATTAGACAGACAAGTCTGCCTCATTAGACAGACAAGTCTGCCTCATTAGACAGACAAGTCTGCCTCATTAGACAGACAAGTCTGCCTCATTAGACAGACAAGTCTGCCTCATTAGACAGACAAGTCTGCCTCATTAGACAGACAAGTCTGCCTCATTAGACAGACAAGTCTGCCTCATTAGACAGACAAGTCTGCCTCATTAGACAGACAAGTCTGCCTCATTAGACAGACAAGTCTGCCTCATTAGACAGACAAGTCTGCCTCATTAGACAGACAAGTCTGCCTCATTAGACAGACAAGTCTGCCTCATTAGACAGACAAGTCTGCCTCATTAGACAGACAAGTCTGCCTCATTAGACNGCATGTGCAATAAGACGCGTGTTTCATATTGCATGTGCAATAGACTTGCATGTGCAATAAGACGCGTGTTTCATATTGCATGTGCAATAGACTTGCATGTGCAATAAGACGCGTGTTTCATAAGGCGGGATGGGATCAGCGTCAGAGCCATACGACGGGGCTATTGCTCTACCAGCTGCCGCAATAAGTAATAAAAATAACCTAATTTTAATAAATTATCAGTCATGATACAGAAATTTTGTTTAAATTGTTGAATTATGTTACTCGGAATGTGTAGGGTGGTTTTATTTCATTTTGAGAAGCAATTAAATGAAGGCAAAATTTGTTATCTTCCGCCTAATTACCGTGAGGAAAATTCAAATTGAAATTGGTAAAATTGCATACAACGGGTACCCATTATTTCCAGCTGAATAAAACATGTGAATTGTGAATTATTCTATGTTATAAACTTAACGGCTGAAGACGTGAATTATCGAGTTTAGAGAAGCTTAGACTATAATCAATATTGTTATAAGTAATAATAAGAATAATAATATTAATAATAATAATAATTATAATAATAATAACAATAAAAATAAAATAATAATAATTTTGGCGACCCACCTTCCGGGTGGTGGCCGACATGACGGCCCTGGCGAGCCTCCGACAGCCGCCGCGTCGTCCGCCGTCGCTGCCGCCACCCGACCCTGGCGGCGGTAGATTATATTGATTATATGGACAATGTGATTAATATAATGATTATAATGCAATTAATATAATGATTATAGCGCTCTATACTGTGATAATTTATTAAAAAACCAATAAGTTAGCCAGGAGTTGGTCAGGATAGATAGTAGCTGTATAATTTCATAATCCATTATTCTGTAAACTGGGCATGAAAGTAGTTATCAAAATAATAATCATATGAATAATTATAATTGAAATAATGTGTGCTAATAAAGGAATTACGTACCAGTTCAAATCCATATACCGTAACGTACATGAAAACTCCCATTTGACATGGAAGTTTGCAGTATGCGGAAAAGTTGCTTATTTTATAAAGTAAATGCACTTTTATATAACAGTTTATATCGCAGGAGCACCAGCACCTGCACCAGCACCAGCAGCAGAACTAGCTGCAGCACCTGCACCAGCATCAGCAGCAGAACTAGCAGCAGCATCAGTACCAGCACTGTCTCTTATACACATCTAGATGTGTATAAGAGACAGNCAGCACTAGCAGCAGCACCAGCAGCAGCACCAGCAGCAGCACTAGCAGTAGCACCAGCACCAGCAGTGCCAGCTGGAGTTTTGGCTCGAGATTTTGGCAAATTGGAAGAATAGGAAAAATAGGGTAGGTGAAATAAGTTAGAAAAGTGCGGCTGATTCCGCGGGTAATAAAAAATGGGAAGGTTTTAGGGTAATTGGGCCGAGGGAGCGAAAAGGGGCGCATTGACCTCTTCTCTATTCTGGGCGCCTGTCGCCCAGAATCAGTGGGGCGTTTGGGTTACAGAAAAAAAAGTTTTGGGTTAAAAAAACGTTTTGGTCGCAGAAAAAAAAAAATTTGGGTTAAAAAAACGTTTGAGTTGCAGAAAAAAAGTTTTGGGTTAAAAAAAAACGTTTGTGTTGCAGTCCTCTTGGTCAAAAAACAACTGTGGGCCTGCTGTAATGGGTCCAGCTGACGCACCAGTAGGTCTGCAATGGGCCTAGCTAACCAAAAACTGGGCCAGCAATGGGTCACCATGACTCACCTGGATCAGGGTCTCCTGATGGGGCGCAAGGACCGAGGTTGAAGGAGGGACTGCGCGCGGGGCGCACGCCTGTGCTGTGGCTGTGCTGGATCTGCACGTGCTGCTTCACTGGGCCCACGTTGAGGCTCCCTGAGCTGGCCCGGGACCCAGCGTTACGTGGGCCCAGACTGTCCCGCATGCCCAGACTGTCCATAAGACACAAGTTATCCTTTGTCCCAAGACTCCCTCGGTCTTTCATGCCCGCAAATCCGGACAGGTTTTCGTCCAAAAAGGACCCTCCGCCGCCGTTCTCCCCACCGCCGCTGTCCCCGCCGTTCATCAGCGCCGGTCCACCGCCGTCCTCGTCGGTAATCACAACCGACGGTCTCGGGTGCGGCGGCTTCGTACCGCCACCGCCAGCCGCCGCTTTCATCCGACGAGGATTGAAGATTGTAGCGATCGACGGCCGCCGACTTGTGACCGTACCGCCATCCTCCGCCATATTAATATTGTTTATATAATATTATTTTAATACATTTTATTAATTATAATATAATAATATTATTATATTTGAGTGTTGAAAAATTGTGTTTTTTTATAATTTTCTTCTATATCTTTTCATTTGTAGCTTTTTTCATAATTTCGTTGCATCCTACCCATCAAAAATTTGTTCCTATCATCATTCAGGATTGTATTCAATGTTCCCATCTCGTGTTCAGGGCTATGTTCTTTTCTAGCTCGCTGTTCTCTGTTCCACATCAGAATATTCACACTAAGTTTCCAAGAGTATCGCTAACATTTATCATCACTATTTATCACGTCCATTTATCCTTCTAATCCATTCACTGTTTCCACTATAACGCTATTCATTCTCTTGCAATATTTGCTGCATATAAAATCAATGGACGTCTGGAACACTACCGTCAGCACAGTACAGGCTCGTTCTCACTTCACAAATATACACCATTACATTATAATATACAATATTAGCGCATAAGATTTCTGCATAATAGACAATATTATCGTATAGTAGACAGCATGTACACTCGAATTATTTATTTGAATAAATTGCTAAAGGGGGTTTTCTTGACGTTTATTAAATCACGAATCTGCATAGGATTGAAGAACTGTAAATTTTTGATCAATATGAAGGTAAAAAATGAAGCAATGAAGCAATTATACATATCATATTCACCTTCAATCATGTCATTGACCCATTTTACCTCGTCCTTCACCCTTTAACAACGTCTTTGGTCCCTTTTACAATGTCGCGACCCTTTAACGATATCCTTGACCCATTCAACCACGTCTTGACCCCTTCAACCCCATCGTTTATCCCTTCAACCACGTCTTTGACCCCTTCAAACACGTCTTTAATCCCTTTAACCACGTTTTTGGCCCCTTCAATCATGTCCCTGACCCTTCAACCACGTCTTTGACCCATTCAACTACTTCATTGACCCCTTCAACCACGTCTTTGATCCATTCAACCACGTGCCTGACCCTTTAACCAAGTCCTTGACCCTTTTTACAACGTGCTTGACCCTTTTAATACGTATTTGACCCCTTTAACAACATCCTTCTCCCCCATTTTATTTTTTTTTTAGAAATTCCCTTTCCTTTTCCTCCCCCATATCTCCTTGAGTGTCTGAGGAAACTTTCGAGTTGAGTTCTCCTCATGAACTAAAATTGAGAGTTTGAGGCTTTTGAGCTTCAAGGTTTTGAGAGGAGGGCTTGCGAGGGTTGGGAAGGGTTAAACATGATTGGAAAGGGTGTTTGAGACCTTGATAGGGATGGAGAAGACTTGTGAGGATTAGAAAAGGGATGGATGGAGAGTCTAAGAGAAGGGAGAGTTATAGAAGGTTGGTGAAGGATGAAAAGGGGTGGACAATTTTTACGATGGCTTATGAGGGTTGGGGAATGTTTGGGAGATTTATGGGGCTGGATGGGGCTAGGCAAGGGATATGGGGCTGGGGAGGACGGGGCAGGGTAATGGAGCTGGGAAGTGGTCATGGGGCTAAGGAGAGGTAATGGGGCTGGGAAGGGGTCCTTTTGCTGGGAAGAAGTCATGAGGCTGGGAAGGGGTCATAGGGCTAAGGAGTTGGTAGTATAGATTTCAAAACACAACCCTGGTTGAATAGGGAACAGAATGTGTTATGATCAATTCACTTGTTGAATGAAAATGAGCTTAAACGATATAATATTGCCGTTTGTTTGCATCTCTTTAGTTTCGCTAAACATTTTCAATTATATTCGCGAATTACTGTGTAGATTATCTTCATTTTTAAAATACAAGTTCATCAGGTTCCATCGTCCACACTAATTTTTGTCATCTTTTGTTTTGTTTTAAATTTAAATGAAAGTTATATGCATTTATATAAATTTCGCCGTTAAAAGGTTCCTACTTGTTGGGATCGATGGAAATTGATTTATTTTCACCACAAATAAAATTGATTTTATTTAGTCAGTGCAGTGCAGTGACGATGTTCAGTATCTCAGGTCTAGGTCCTACAATACAAATGAACACAAAATTACCAAAGCGTACACTCAGTTACGCCATGGAGTCATATTGTCCAAATAGTAACCCTCTATCATGCCTCCATCACGAGCTGAGAGCATGCGTACCGGTATCACTTATACCCCGTTAGCCGAACCCAAATTGATAAGATGACGCACACAAGGGCAAGAAATATAGCTCTATTTGAAAAAGTTTTGCTTATTACTAGGAGTGCATGAATTATAATTATATTAGTTAGTTCAAAAAATCCTAACGCAATGACAAATGGTTCCGACACCGAACCCAACTTGGTATGATGACGCACATAAGGGCAAGAGATGTAGCTCTATTTGGAAAAGTTTTGCTCATTACTAGGAGTGTATCATTTATAATTATATTAGTTAGTGCACAAAATCCTAAGGCACTGACAAATGCTGCCGACAAAACGTTGAGCAGCAGAATAGATAACCATTAAGTATGGATACCGAAAAAAACGTAGCGCTTTAGAATGGTTACCCATAAACAAAATTCCAAAATCAGGTTTGTGTTCAGTATCCTAGGCCTTGCCGTGTTTTTCTTTAGAGAAAAAGATGCCCAAGCTTGGCACAAGCAAAGTAGCAAGGATCATTGATTTTTCTAGCTGCAGCTGCTCTATCGCTGCAGCTACGAAGTTACAACCTTGTTATAGCTGTTTACTTTTTTGGGTTATTTATTTAGGGTTATTTTATTACGTTTACTACTTACGCCTCTTGCTACGCCTACTTCTTACACCTCTTGTTACGTCTACTACTTACACCTCTTGCCACGTTTACTACTTACGCCTCTTGCTACGTCTAATGCTTACGCCTCTTGCTACGTCTACTACTTACACTTCTTGCCACGTTTACTACTTACGCCTCTTGCTACGCCTACTTCTTACACCTCTTGTTACGTCTACTACTTACGCCTCTTGCTACGTCTACTACTTACACCTCTTGCTACGTCTACTACTTACGCCTCTTGCTACGTCTACTACCTACGCCTCTTGTTACGTCTACTACTTACGTCTCCTGTTACGTCTACTACTTACGCCTCTTGCTACGTCTACTACTTACGTCTCCTGTTACGTCTGCTACTTACGCTTCTTGCTACGTCTACTACATACGCCTCTTGTTACGTCTAATACTTACGCCTCTTGCTACGTCTACTACTTACGCCTCTTGCTACGTCTACTACTTACGCCTCTTGCTACGTCTGCTACATACGCCTCTTGTTACGTCTGCTACATACGCCTCTTGTTACGTATACTACTTGCGCCCACTTACAACACTGAAGAAAGAAGAAAATATACAGAAATGACACTCAACTTCTCTGTTACTTCTGAATGGATAAGTTCACAATATCTCGAAGAGTTCTTCTAAGTTTAAGAATAAATGCTAAAACTAAAAAAGTTGCAGTTGAAATGTTTTAAAAAGTTGAAATGTTATATGCAACTTTTTTAGTTTTAGCCTTGAATGGATAAGCTGAAGTGATATTAAAGTCGACGGAGTTTACACCTAATATTTAAGTTACTCCCAACAATATTTGCATGCTGTTGCTACTTCAGTTTAGAACATGGCCTTTCACGCAGAGCTTGCACTAACTTTTATTTATCACAATAACTTATTTAAGAAGGCACTATCAGGCTGTTCCGCCGCAATTAAGCTTTATCGAATACTTTAAGGTGTTTTCATTCAAACAAGATACGAATATAATTACTCTGTCTCTGTATGTGTAGAATATTCCTGTGTGTATACTATTTGTGTAGTATACATAAGACTGCAAGTACGGGTGAGTGAGGGTATGTTTAAAGGGCTCGCACACTCATATATATAGCCCCTCACGCGACCCTGGATTTACTGAGAAGGCAAAGGAGTAATTTTTCTGAATATTTCAACTCTGTCATTAAAATTAATAGCAAAAACAGCTCTCAGGGATCGAGTCAGTCGAGGAGAAGTTGACACAATCTTTATGAACATAAAATTTCGGACACAGTGTCCTTTGTTCGTGTTGTTTTGGGAGAATCACGAGCTACACAACCTCACAGAACGGCCGCCAGCGGCACACTGACGCGACGTCTCTGGCGATGCGGGATACTAGACGCGTCATTTTTTTATCTTCTCATCAGCCATCGTTTTGATTTTTTAGCGCTTCGCTGAAGACTGTCTTAGATGCATTCAACAATTACATTATTTAGAACTATTACTACTTACGCCGCTTGCTACGTCTATTACTTACTAGAATCCGACAATTAGAACAAAATTTTGAAATTCAATTTGAAATTCCCCAAAACCTAGAAATTTATTATCTTCAAAACGGCAAGAATGCTGTTCAAATTACGATTGTGTCAGCTTAGCCGCAACAAAAAATAGAATTAGTATAAATATACTTTATATTCCGCTTGAAAATTCCCACAAAAACCTAGGAATTTATTCGCTTTGATTCGGCAGAAATAATATTTAAATTTTACAAGTGTCAGCTCAGCCATTTTTGTAAATATATTTAGTTTAAATACATTTTTATTTTCAACTTCTAAATTCTCACAAACCTAAAAATTGCCGTAAATAATGCTCCTGTCAGAATAATTCACGTGGATCAAAATATTTTTGATGTTTCCAGTAATTTTGATTAATTATCTTAATATTGCAGAACGAAACACATGCATTCCGTATCTTAAATAAGCGTTCAACCTACAATATAAAGTAATATCTAACGTCAAATTGCGATTCCTATCCTTTTAACTAAAATACGGCATAAATTTTGAGTTGCCTAGACTATTCCACGATCAAGCGTGATTAAAATGTTGATTTCTAATTGAAAGTTTCGTCTCTTTACCTTGCTATGTGGGTGGGTATATTGCTCTTGCTATGTGGGTATATTAGTTATTATGAATGTTGTAATTTTTCAATTAGTTACTTTGAACTTTACCTGCCAGCCGTGCTGGAGCCTGAATGTAAATTTTCAATATATAATCTACGCAAAATGAA